AGGTCGTCTGCAAACCACCAGTTTCGAGAGGAGATTTTTCCCAGAAACGAGTCTTAAATTGTAGAAATATTTTTGCAGCATTTGTATACTCTATTTCACGCAATGCGCGTCGTTTATCATATGATAATGCTATTTAAAGAAACAATCATCTAAAATTTATTGTGATAATAGTGTATAGATTTAATGTTGATATTAAAAGAAAAACTTACTTGAAGGCAAATCCCAATGACGGACACAACCCAAAGAAGAAGTAATAACTACTCTATCAAAGATTTCAGATTTGTTCTTCCCCTTAGTTTTCCAATGAACCTTAACACTTTGACCATCATTAGTTTTTTCCAATTTAAAAACTTCACTATTATACTTTAATTTATATTTTGCCTTCTTAATCAATGGCAAGAAAGCATTAGGTAATCGTTGCATTCCTTTGTCAATAGTTTTCCAACTTATATTATAATCACCAGAACCACTAAAACTATATGATTCCGTGGCCGTCTTAACGAAGCCAAATTTGAATTCACCTAAATTAATTAATAATCAAATTTACAAATTAATAAATGATAATTATAAATTTAATCGTTACGTGCATTACATGCCTATGCCCGCTTCGTTAATTTCAATAGCTTTAATAATTTCGTCATAATCTTCCCATTTTGTTGGGAATTTTGCAGGAAGAAATATTTCTTTTAAATAAGAGTAAGCGGAATGCTGATCATATCGTTTTAAAGCTTTAATGCCTTTTTCAAAATCTTTATCAAGCTCTTTAAAAAAAGGTGATAAAGCCTCATTCCAAAGATCAGCATAATCATCCGGTAGTGAATCAGGAAAGCCTAATTGAGTAACTTTAGCAGATGCAGAGTAATTTTTGGTCATTATTTTACCATCTGGAGCCTTTTTGTTATTGAAGTAATATAAAGCGCTATTATATGGATGAGTAAGTAATAATAAAGCATATAAAATATTAAAACTTTTTCAATTAAAATTTAAGTTACACTTTATACTACACATATGATAAATCACATGCATACTTTGGATTGCTAAATATAAATGGAATAGTTTTGATTTTTTTATCTGGGTTGTCTTTCTTATTATATTTGTTTAAATAATCGATAGTATCAAAAACTAGCTGATGTGCAGAGAGATCTGGACGGCCATCGACATAAGGTAATCTCATTGCGCCAAGTTCACCATATAAACGCCTTTCATCGTTAGGATCATTAGTAAAATAATGAGTATGAACACGTCCACCAACACGATCTTGAAATTCAAGAATGGTAACGTCTTTAATACCAGCTTCTTTTAAAAGAAGTGCTGTAAATAGTCCTAGTAGAGTGTAAAATTCATTTATTAATAAGATATAAAATAACATTTAGGGCATGAAATAGGAAAAGGCATATCTACCAGACATTCCAGCACCTATAATGCAAATTTCTACGATTTTTTAATTATTTAATGTTAATATAAATTGAATGTACAAATATAAAAGGATAAGTGAATGATATATCACTTGGATTCTCTTTTGGAGTACTTCGAGGTGTTATCTCAATATTATCATCACTAATTCTGTACAATAATAAAATATTAGCATGAATAAGTATTTATCGACTATGTTCATCCAATATAGCCTACCTTTTATGATAATTTTCATAGTAATAATTGTTTATATGAGCTCTTTTGCGTTTATTTTCGTCACGCCTTTCAAATTTATGAGTCGCTTTGTAATGTACAAATATTTTATTAAACTAAAAGTAGATGTGGATTCTGATATCTAAACAGTAATATTTTTATATCCTTACATCCTTTTAATTTATTAAATTAATATTATAAAAAATCTATATTTAATTAGTACATATGTACGACCTTTTGCATAAAATAAGTAAAATTTGCAAAAATATTTCTACAATTTAAGACTCGTTTCTGGGAAAAATCTCCTCTCGAAACTGGTGGTTTGCAGACGACCT